ATATTTCCATGAAGGGTGAGCTGGTCAGATCTCAGATATGAGAGCTCAGGCAGCTGCCCAGATGGAGGATGCTTTATGAACGCAGCAAGAGATGTAAACAGAGCCAAAGACTATGATTTCTTGAGTCTCATCTGATTTTAACTATCACAGTGAGCCCAGGGTTCCCTTGAAGTGAGCCTCAAACAGATCTAGTGAAGGCAATGAGATTATTCCAGAAATATATTCACTCTACACTTTCATATGTATTTCAAAGGAGCTACAGCTAAATACACAGGCTATAGAAAACCAGGCATTCCTACACAAGTGTGTGATTTTCTTCAGATCCACAAGAAAATGTGTTGAACTGCGTTTTTGCTGTCCATGAATTTGGATCTAAAATGTTCTGAAACCACAACCAAGAGCTAATCCTGCCCTGTCCTGCACTGTGACATGCTAGTACAAGGACAGACAGGCAGCTGGGAAATGTTACATATTTGTGACTTGCCAGAAATCAAAAAAGGCTCTAGCAGCACCAAGCTGGAGGGAAAAGCCCACGCAGGACAGACTTGTACTGAATCCAGGTAGGAGGTGCTTCCACCATAGCAGGGACTGGAGGCAGCAGCATGGTGCAGCAGGCTGCTGCCTCGGGGTACACAAACGTCATTTGCAGTTATCTGGTAACTCCCAGAAAAACAACTCAGAGTCCTGATGGCACCTGAGGTCAGGACTGCTGATCCATTTAATGCTTTCCACCCTCATGCTCTGACTGGCACTGTCACTCTGGCTCCTTCTCAGCCATTCCAAAGCAGCATTTCCAGGAGGGCTGAAATGCCTCCTTCCATACAAGGACATTTCAGGTGACTCCACTGGTCCTGAGGTTTAACTCATAAAGCCTCCACAAACCACCCCAAACAAACAAGTTCATCTCCTAGCTAAGTAGGTGCAGGATGTCTGGAACCAAGGACACCTGTTTTTTCCACCAGGCATTCCAGACTCTCCACTGGCAGGACCCTGAACACCCTGAGAGCTTCATCCCTCCCAGCAGCCTCCAAGGCACAATGGGACTCAGGAACAGGGAAACCCAGAGCCCAGGAAAACCAGGCAACACCCATATCACTCCACTGAACCCAACAGAAGCTGCTGCTGTGACCTAAAGCTCCATAAGTTTTGGATGAGAGACATCAGAGAGGCCCCAGCTGCACGTCCCTGATGTGGACAGGCTGTTGCTGACTGAACCAACACATCTGGAGTGACATGTGGCAGCTCACACAGGACTCTGCTATGAAGGCTGCTGCCAAGGATTTGGATTAGTTGTGATGTTTAGTTTGGATTAATTGTGATGTTTTTCAGTCCAAAGTAAAAGTTGAGATGGCCTGAAGCAAAATCCAGGCACTGAAAAAGATTAACTGTCTCACTTTAAAGGCTGTCTTTGATGTAAATTTCTTAGTATGATGTATCATGAATATTAGATCTTCCTGTCCTCCAGCTTACCCATGATGGCCTTGCATGCTTAGGGATCTCAGCACTCCTTAATGCTTTATTAAAAACGTGGGCTGCTCTGAGGAACCCCACTTGTGTTTTTCTCCTCCTGAAGGTCAGGCCCCTCCCCAGGTATGTCCCTGGAGGCACAGGCTTTGCAGCTGTGTGCTGAGGCTGAACTAGAAAGAAATGTATTTCCTTGCTCAAAGGACTTCTGCAAACCCAAGTGCTGGATGGGATTTATACAACATGCTCTTGTCATGCAAGACAAACCAGACCAGTTCACACCAAACTCATTCTGCAGCTCTGAAATGAACTCAAACCAAGTGGTTTCTCCAGGCGAGACAGATGTAGTCATAACTTGGCACTTCAGTACTGGAAATTCAGTGCCATCTCTAAATTTGTTTATGCCCTACCAAATTCATTAAACCAATGCAGGAAATTAATTTCTGTTCCCCTGGTAAAAATTAAGCAAGGCCTTTGAACACCTGTCACTGCTTTCATGAAACTCATTGGTGCAAGGTTATGTGTGCACACTGAGTTTCTTGCTGATGAGGCTCCCTCAACAGTTTCTATTTCACAGACCTCACATATGACAAAGCTCAGTCCCTGGGCACAGGTGTACAACCAGCACAGCAAGGCTGACCAGTCTGATATTTTCAGCACGTCTCACATTCTGTAGAATGAGCTGCTCATCCTCTGTGGCCTTATCACAGCTCTGACCTCCCAGAGTGGCTGCACCCACACTGCCCAGGCACAAGTTGCTAACTGTGGTTTATTTGTTCCTATGCAAAATCTGCTGGGGACAGGAAGGGTGGGATGGTCCCTTGTTAACCAAACACCTCCAGCAGCAAGGGTTTGCCACACAATTTCTCACTTTAAATTGTGAACTCTTTGTCAACTCTTTGTCGTGTCCTATCACCCACCAGCCTCAGTTCACAGCTCTTCTGACTAAGGCCTACCAGTGCTGCCACAATACTAATTCTTCCCCATCCAGTAACAGTTAAGCTGCCAATTCACTCCTCTCCTGACCTCTGGGTGTCAAAATAACATTATCCTTCAGCTGGAGATTCCCAAACACCATACAGTATTATCTTTCTCTCGTGCACATGAAAATAGTGAAACTCGAGGAAAAATTAAGTAACTAGATTAGATGTCAGGAAGAAATTGTTCCCTGGGAGGGTGGGGAGGCCCTGGCACAGGTTGTCCAGAGAAGTTGTGGCTGCCCCATCCCTGGAAGTGTTCAAGGTCAGGTTGGATGGGGCTTGTAGTAACCTGGTCTAGTCCTAATTCCAGGACAAGTTATTGGTTTTAGTAAATTAAGGGTATTGTAAATGTTCTTCAGTTGTGTGTCAATATTATCAGACAAATAATAATGACCCTTTGGTCAACTGGACAATTGCTATCTCCATCATTGCACTGATAACCTGAGGAGCAAGAGTGCAGAAACATTCAGCATCCTCTGTGATCCAGCCTGCTCTTGACACATGCATTCCAAATGGACAGACCCAGCTCCCCCAGGGCACAACCCCTTCCAGACAAGTGGACAGCCATGCTTTTCCTTGGGTATGCACTAAACCAGCCATGAAATCAATGCTGCCAGCTCATCAGGAACTGCTACTGCCTGTAAATGGGGCTCACAGAGCTGCCCAACAGGCACCTGCTTTCCTTAACTGACTGCAGCTGCTCCTGGGAGCCAGTTTGGTTCCTTGGCTCTGGGAAATGGGTTCATAATGGACACAAAAATGCAGCTTTGGTTCGGTCTTGAAGACTGTCATATTTTCTTTCCTACCAAAACATAGGTAGGAGAGTGGGAGAGCTGCTGTGGGACTTGGCCACTGGCAGGAAGCCGTTCTGCGAGTGGTGCCTGGACAGATCTTGAGAGCAGCAGCACAGCAGGCTGATCCCTGCTTCTCACCTTCCCACGTGAGGCCAGCTGGGAAGGTCAGAGCTGCTGCTGCTAGGCCAGACATACGGAATGCATTTAAGTGTCTGGCAAACACCTTCACCAAAATATGCTGAAAATTCTGCTATTGAGAGCAGCTCAGCAACCCAAGCTCGTTATCCCACTCGAAGCACAGAGCTCACCCTTGCTATACGAGTTGCTGCAGGATAAAGCTGTGCAAAATCTGCCTCTGCTTTAGCACGTTTTAAGTTCTCATCGAAGAAGCCATTTCACAAACTTTCTCCAGTGTGTTTATGATCCAAATTCCATGGTTTTCATCTTATATTTTCAGACTTGAATCACAAGTAAACCCACACCTTCCATCATCCTTGGCATGCGAAAGCAAAGCGATGCTTCAGAAGACTCAGTGGCAGGAGCAGTGCCTCAGGCCTCCTGCTCAACACTGAATGTCACAGTGCAGCCAGAACTCACAGGGGGAAATGAAGACAGACAATGCTGCTGCCAGTACACGCTGCATCTGCAGAGAAACTGCAGGGACAAGTTGTGTTTACATTTATCAATCCAGTACTGGGGAAAGGTAAAGACTCCGGGACCCGAAGAAAAGAGGAGGAAAACAGTGCCTCTTCAGCTTCATGCTGATCACGCTTGGGCACAGTGACACATGCATGGCTGTGGCAGATAGCTGGGGTGGCCTCTCTATGCCTCCTGAAAGAACATTTAGCTGCTAGATTTTTCTTTAAAAAAAATTCTAGTGCTGGAAACGTGCTAAAGACAGCAGCCCGACGATCGAAGGAACTGAGCACTTTTTATAGCAAGGAACGAAAAAGGAAATGGCCACTCATGGTTTGCACAGGGGATGCGGCAGCAGCGGCGGCTCGCGCTGTGCGGGTGCTCGGGAGCTCCGTGCCGGGACCCCGCGGGCTGCGGGGACAGAGGGCAACGGGCTGTGCTGGCTTTGGAACCGGGCAGTGACCCAGCGCTCCTCCAGGTACACCGATGGATCCCGTTCCACGGTGGGAACGCGCGTGGAGCCGCCGCCTTCCCTGGATGTCCGGTCACAGCCGCCTGCCCGCAGTCCATCGCGGCAGCGACCTGCCCGGCTGTCCCGTCACCGCCGGTGTCACACACCGACCGCGCGCCCGGCAGGAACGTGTGCCGGGCTCGGACCCCGCTCCGCTGAGGGGCGCGGGGGAAGCACGGGCCGGCCACACCGGCTCCCCCTCACGGC